CAAGGAGATTTCGAATCTATCATCATATAACACTTTCATCAAGGTATGAGCTCAAATTTCTCACTTTTTCTTAAGAACTCAGATTTAGGGTTTTCTTAGAATGAGTAGAAATTCACCTTATGATGATTGGAAACTGTCTTTGGACTTAAGGCTAGACTACTGGGTAGTTTAATTGCATGATTAAACACTTAGACCATAGAGATTTGAAATTTTCAAAAATCTGAGATTTGAACTTTGAGCAAATCGAAATTTGGAGATTTGTTTGGTTCAACTTTGTAAATCTGGATTGTTTGGTTCTTGTTGATAGAAAACTAGATTAGATTACATGTGAATGAGCATAAACAACATCCTGATTCAGAAATCTCATGTGTTGAACATCAGTATATCGAACTTGACCAGAAATTCTCAGATTTTGTAATGATTGATGCATTCCCAGCCTGTTTTTCATGATAATGTGTTTGTGATTTCTTTATAAACACCTTGATCATAAAAATCGATACCAAAGCACCTTGATTTATCCTTTTTCTTGAGAATCTCGTTTTTGCAGGTCGTGGATCTCTCTCAAGTTCGACTGATTCGAACCAAGACGAGCCGTCATGCAAAAAAGCCCCATTCGCAGGAGACATATGATGCATTGAACGAGACACAATTGAGTGAAGATGAGCCTCTATCCACCTTCATTACCGCGCAAAGAAGAATCTTTTCAGGAGAGATTGAGCAGACCTCCACTCAGCTATCTTTCCCAAGAAGATTCAAGTCTTCCTCTAAGCCGAAAGTGAAGTTTGTTGGTAAAGCCATTGACCTTGACATCGATTACTTGGCACAGCTTGAGAAGCTGAAGATCAAGCCAACTCCAAAAATTGACTACTCAACTCTTGAGATGCTTGGAATCAGAGAAGATGTGATATGGTATCTTGATAGGCTTGGAATGAGATCGTTCAAGGAGCAGAACTTTCAGACCTATGAGAACCACACCAAGGAGTTCCTTGCATCAGCAACTTTGAGCTACAAGAAGAGAGCTACTCCTAGAGCTCTAGATGGCACACTCTTCTTCTTTATAGGAGATGAGAATCTTTGGAAGCTGATGGGTTATGGAGTTTATGACAAAGGAAGGTCCAAGGCTTCATTACTTTCCCATCCTGCTGTTCGCTATGTCCATAAGTAACTAGCACACACTGTGTTTTCGCGAGCCAATCAAGCGAATGTCCTTAAGCCAGAGTTGGTGACACTATAGCTACCATTCGCAGATCACCCCAGGACTACTCACCAGCTTTTGGGAGCATCATCACTTTGCTTATGATAGCAGCAGGAGTTGATTTTTCAGCTGAGACACCTCTTAGAGAGGATTGGTTTGATCTTTCTCAGTTCTCTAGAGACAGGACTATCACCAGGGCCAAGATGGACCCAATTGGATTTGCTTACAAGTTCTCCACCAGTTCCACCGACTACAGGGTACTACTACCATCGGATTCAATGCCCCATCTCCGAGATGGTTCAGACCTAGGATGGAAACCAGAGACTAGCGACTTCCTACCATCTTTGCCACTCTTACCTCTGACCATGAAGCAATTTCTGATTGCAAAAGCCAAGAGAGAGGTAGCTGCAAACAGCAGGAGACTACAGCTTGCACCATCCTCATTCAGAGCCAGTTCTTCTCATTTCAGAGCATCCACTAGGAGTGATGCAGACTTTGCAGCTTTGAAGAAGAAGCTTGACCAGCAAGAGAAGATCAACAGGCGCATAAAGAGACTACTGAAGATCCGCCGGTCTGATGACTCCTCATCTACAGAGACAGATGGCAGTCATGAGACATAGGCGCCTATCCATCACCACATCATGCCCACGGTTCTATCACCATTTTTTCTTTTCTTTTATTTTTAGACTCTTTTGCTTTTATTTCACCATCTTCTCACCAACTTTTTCACACTGGAGACAGTGTGATTTATGTATGGGGGAGGATGTCTATCCGTACTAATCTATTTTTCTTTGTTTCTTATCTTTTTCTTGCAATTTTTAAAATTTTCTATGCTTACTAAAAGACCTTGAGTATTTTTCAGGAATGTTTGACACAAAACGATGACGAGTAAGACCCATTTGCTTCTAGACTTTTCATGCTAGTTTCTTTTGTGGTTAGTCTAGACTAGGCAGTAGCTAGACTAGGCAGTAGCTAGAGTACTTGCACTACGAACTCCGACCAGAGGATTTCTATTCATGGAGATCTTTTCTTCCAGGATATACTAGCTCATTCTACTTGAACATAATCTTAACATCTAATTTTCTCATCATTGGTTCTAGCAGGCATCATGATACACATCTAGGACATCTTTACATCATTATTACCACTCTTTGTTGTCCTAGATGGCCAGTTCATCTTTAGCAGGTACCACACCCTTTACCCAAACCTTTATATTTAAACCTCATGCATTCTCTCTTTAGTTTATGTCGACAGATATGTGCAAAAACGCCGGAGAGAGAGGAGCAACATAGTTTTCAGTCACTCAATAAGAAGACTGAAAGAATTTGGGAAAGTCAAGCATGAAGAATCTATCAAAGCTCGATGGTGCCTCAAAAAGCTTGAATTTTTTGCTTTCTAAGACTCTCAATCCAAAGGCGGTTTCCCCTTTCTAAAAAATAAAAAAATAAAAAAATAATAATAAATAATAAAAAAAAATAAAAAGGAGAAAAAGGAGAAAAAGAATGAAAGAAAAGGAAAGGAAACTAAAAGCCTAAAGAGTCTAGGGTAGCCGAAATTATTTGAAGCAAAGGCTGGAAGTATTCATTGGTGAGCATTGGTTTTAAGACCTCTACAAAAATCTAAGTCTGGGGAGTTATGAGGAGAACCTGAAGAAGGGAGATCAATGATCTTAAAGCAAGAAGAATGTGACTGAAAACTGTGGATATCAATAGCTCCACCCTCTCTTACTGTTTTGCATAATGTCTTGTCTCTCCAGAAAAGGTAACCCTATTACTAAAAGCCTCACCTTCTAAACAGCCATTTTGAATACCTAGCCTTAATTGCCTTTCTAAACTCCTTTTGATGAGAACCACTGGAACCTATAAATGAATGTTAAGAGCTAGTTGACTGGAGGATAGGTTTAAGTGTGTAGACATTCGCATGACGGATCAACGGACTAGTTATGCTTGTGCTTTGGTGAGAATTTTCTAGACTATCCTTGATTTGAACATAATGACTAACTCTGGTTTAGAAGCATGGTCTCTGAGATTCTGTTAGTTCCTGCGATTTTCAAACCTCTTTTCCAGGTTAAAATCTTTGGTTTTGTTTGAGGACAAACAAAGGTTTAAGTCTGGAGGAGTTGATAACACCTGATTTTGACCACTTTTATGGATCACTTTCAATATCTTATGCAGGTGTTTTTACTCAGTTTTAAAGGTTTTATAAGTGTTTTCCATGTTTTGGAGTTTCAAAACATTTTTCAGGAAACTTGGGACTTCGGAGTGCATTTTGGAGCAAAAATACATTTTTAAATAAATTCACGCCATCAGAAGTTTGGCAACCAAAGAAAACTTTCTCACCGTCCGATCATCCCCAAATTTGGAGACAGTATAGAGGAGACAACCAGATTTCCAACACATTTGAAATCAAATCAATCCAACGGTTAGATCTCAAGATATCATCAATGCACTTAAGGCCAATCAACACAAGCCCAGTCAAGCACAAGTGCTTTCACCCGCGGCCAGCCTTCTTCCCACCGCGGCTCAGGAGGTTTCACCCCCAGTGGACCTATTTCCGAACCTCAGGAGCCCAACTAAGGCCCAAGACACTTCCTGCACCCATTTTACAAGCCCTAGACGCCCAAGTCTTGGAGAAACACTATAAATACTCATTTTTAGGTCTTTTGTAAGAGGAGTCTCTTTCTTTTCTTTGAGAGAGAACTCATTTGTAGTTTTAGGTTTTGGCTTTAATTGGTAACTTTGCGGAATGGCGGAATTGCGGAAAAAATCTTGCGGAATAGATTAAGCGACTTATAAGTCGCTTTTCTGCGGAATGATTTTTCTTATGTATTTTTGTTAAGCAAAAACGCAGTCTGCGTTTTTGTGTATATTTTTTCATTACGCGGATTTTTGTTGATTTGCAAAAAACCTGCGGAATTGTGTTTAAAAACGCAATTCCACCATTCCGCAGGTTACCAATCAGAGCCTTTATTTTTATGCACTTGTAGAAGAACTCCATCGCCATTCTGTCTTCAATAAGAGAAGTTTTCTGCAACTTTGTTTCTTTTACTTTTCTTCTTCTTAGTTCTAAACCGATGATGATGTCTACCTCAGCCATGTCTGAGTAGTCACCTAGTTGAGTGAAAGGATAATCCAAAGGGACCCCATGTTCGAATGATATCTAGGTTTTTAGAAAAAAGGATTTCGATTTTTAAACATGATTCTCCCATTCATCCAAATTTCAAAGCGGTAATTCTGGATTGATCATCCAGAATCTGATCCTAGGTTTAATCCGAGCCACGAGAGTGTTGTATCTGGGTTGCCTGAACTGGATATTATGGAAGTCCCCGTCGTAGGAGACGAAAGCTACCTACGGAGGATACGTAAGCAGAGATGGATTCCGATCTACAAAGCATGATCTTGTTCTGGCATGAGAGCGAGAATTAATTGCCATGAACAAGTGATTGGATGATTAAGGTGACGAGAGTTGGCTAATCTTACATGTGTATATCCTAGTTTCAGAGTCATAGATTCTATCCTTGCCTAAATTCCTTGTGTTTTAGAACATGAACCCTAAAGATAAACATTGAACCCAGCGCTTTTTCCTTACTGTTTTTCAACCGATTTTTATTCAAAGCTTCTTTTAATTCTCTGCATAATTAGATTTAGTGGCAAACCAAAACCCTTTTTTTATTAGATTAGGTTTACGATTGTTTTTAGTATCAGTTAGAAGTCCTCAACACACAGATCTCTGTGGATTCGATCCCTAAGTACTACTGCGTTTGCTGTGCACTTGCAGCTTGTCTAGGGTAAAACTTGTGTTGCCCACTGCACTCACATCAGATTCATCTTCTGAGCTGACAGTACTTTGAGCCTGCAAGGACTTCATCGATACATCTATTAAACACAAAAAAATAGTTTCTTCTCAACTTTTGAGACTTCATAGAGTTCATGGCCCCTTGCGATCTATATGACCTCAGTCACACGGGTAATCCGCTTTCATGGTGGGGAGTCAGGAATACTCACAACATCCACTGCCGCCTTGATAGAGCAATATAACAGTGACTGGGCTGAAAATTTTCCACAAGAAAGATGTAAGTATCTCCAGTTTGAAGGCTCAGACCACCTACTTATGATCTCTTTCTTTGATGTGCTACGAGGTGAGGGAAAAAGTTTTACCCTTGATAAAAACAATTGAAAGCTGCAAGTGCACAGCTAATCAATTGTAGTACTTAGGATCGAATCTACAGGGATTTGTGTGTCTGATATTTTTCTATGGCTTTTAAGTTTATGTCTAGACTAAATCTGGTTTTAGGGGTTGGTTGTTTGTCACAGATTAAATTAAAACTAAAGAACGTAAATGAATCTATCCTAAAAAGCAAGTAGAAAATCGAATGAAAGCAAATGAAATAAGCAGAAAATCGAACTAAGGCAAAAAAATGCAGATCTAGAGAAGGAAGTAAATATCGACTAAAGGCAGCCAGTTAGTCCTCACGGTTTCTCTCGAGTGCTGGCAAACTAGTTATGCTCAAGTCAGTCCTATCTGCAATTCTTACACGATGTCCTGTTTCAAACTCCCAACCAGCCCCTGCAAAGAATTCAGTCAGTACTCACTAGATTTTAGTGGGATGACACACCATGGATATGCTGGCCAATCTGGTCAGCACGAAACCTCCTCACCTTTGAGAACATAAATTTCTCACCGGAGGATACAACCAAAGCCGTATCTGATGCTCAAGGCCAAATCACAAAGTAATCCAGCAACAGATCAGACAACCTTCAGACACCATCATATGCTTCTCCGATGCAGCCTGGAGAGCAGATCTAAAGACGGCAGACATCGGCTGGATTTTCCAAAATCAAGCAAGAAGAACAATCAGGCAAAACGCAAAGGTGGAAACCTTCGTCAATTCACCTCTAGTGGCTGAAGCTATTGCCATTAGAGAGGCCATCCAACATGCAAAAGGCCTTTGATACCTGAATCTAAGGATAAATTCTGATTCCCCAACGCTCATCCGAGCTATTCGATCCGGTGATCAGATCGCCGAAATTTATGGTGTTCTGCAAGACATCAAAAAATTATCTCTCTTGTTTTCTTCGATCGCATTAAATTTTATTCCGAGATCTACCAACCTGTTGGCATATTTTCTCAAAAAAACGCTCTGCATAATTTATCTCCTGTAAGCGACGTTGAAGTTTCTGATATTAAAAAAAAAGACTTGTTGTCTCCTTGTTTTCTTTTATTTCAATATGCTTTTGGACTAATTATTATAAATGTAATACACTTATATTAATGAATCCTTTTTATTTCATATTTTACTTATACAAACTTTGAGGATACAATCCACCTAATCAACAAAAATAAAACAATCAGGAATAACAAGCGCTGCTTTTTATTGTGTTCACTAGTGCCCTATAATGTTTTTAATAAAATATAAATAAAAATTATATCCTTAAAGATAAATTTACTATTTACTATACAAAATGTAAACACAATGTTCTACGTTTAAACAAGCATGACAGAACAAACCACATTTTAATTCTTATTATGCTAACAACTTTATATTAGAAAACAAATAAAAAAAAGAAAAACCTTTATATTAGATCCATAACCATATTGAAGAAGATTCAAAAGTCCATCATTCTTAACCTTTAGAACCCAACGCTTTAGGAAAGTTTGAAACTTGTACAAATTAATATATATATATATGTATATATATATATATAAAGTCTAAATAAAGAAAACCAAAACAAAACATCAGGGTTGCAACTTCCATGTGTTTGATTTCTTGTGTCTTTTAGATTGCTACAAGAATACAAAATATGTAATATTAGCCAATGCTTTGGTCGAGATGACGTCGTATCTACGTCTAATTTCATTTTAATTATAGAAAAGCATGCATTATTAGAATTTGTAATGTAGAGTTTTTTTTTTTTTTTGAACTAAGGTTTTTGTAATGTAATGTTAGTATATATTTTCTAAATCTTTTGCCTTTATTAATTCTCTAAAGTTTATTGTTTGCACTTTCTTAATAACCTTTTTCTAAATTTAAAATTTCAACGAAAAATATACTCCTATATGCTAAGGTATGGAAAAAGATTAGGGAAGGAGACAAGAAGCAGGTATGGAGTTACTCTCATACAGGTCAATCAAATATCAATTCCACCATGCTAATAGCTACTTGCTATTCTCTCTTTTCCATGTCTCTATATTTCCAATCTAATTTACTAAGTTCTTTTAACATGACAATTACAGAAATTTCATTGTAAACCGTCGAAGGGTTTATTTTATAAAATAATGAGTTCCGGGATTCTCTAAGACTCTAACTATATTAAAAAAAAGTTGTCCTCATCAATTTATGAGTAGGGGTACTTCATGGATGGAGAATGGCCAATAGCAAATAAATTAAGAAAAAGACAATGAAATGGAGAAAAAAACTGTCGAAAATGAGCTCGAAGTACTATCGTTCTCGAGTGCAAGATGCCGAGAAAAATCTTCGGCCATAAACCATAAAGGTTTTACAAGATAGAAAACGAAAAGGAAATTTACAAGAAAGGATTAAGTACCTCTGTGCAACAATTGTATCTTGTGTATGTATTTTTAAATATTGTTTATCTGACTATTGTTCATGTTTATAACTCCTTTGACTATTGATTATAGGGACATTTTTTATTTTATTTTTGAGATCGAAATAGGAACCTTTGTTAATACACGCAAGGTATATATATCATTGGCCAAGCATCGAGATAGTCAACAAAATTTTTTCTTGCGGAAGAAGCAAAGCTAAAAAATGTGTTACCAGTTAAGTGACTTTTGAGTTATTAATTACAAAAAAAAAAGACTTCTGTGTTTTAATGTCTAACAAATGCACTTCCTATATTTTACTCCTATTTTTTGACTTTTTTACCCTTTTTCTTTTTTTTTTATTTGTTTTATTAAAGGTATGACACCCACTTAACTTTATCCATCAACTTTTACATACTAAAATCGTATGAGACCTACATAATTCATTTCTTTCCACATATAATTATATCTAACAATGTTATATATATATAGATATATATATATATATATATAATTGTGTTTATATATATAACTATGTGGATACACATATAAATATACAATTATTTGTTATTATTTATCTATTATTCAAAAAATATTCAAATAATTAATTTGACATTGTAAAATATATAATTTTTTTTTAATATTTTGATATTCATTTTATATTTTTGATTTAAATTATTTTTATTATTTAGTGATAAACACATAAATATCCATATAGTAGCGTCCACGTAAACACAAATATATGGATATCTACGTAATTATATAGATATTATATTAATATCACACACCCCCATAATTGTTTGTTCTTATTTATCTATTATTTAAAAAATATTCGAATAATTATTTTGACACTATAAATTATATATTTTTTTAAATATTTTGATACCCATTTTATACTTTTTGATTTAAATTATTTCATTTTTTAGTGATAAACACATACGTATCCATGTAGTTGCGTCCACGTGGACACAAATATATAGATATCTATGTAATTATAGAAATATTATATTAATATCACACACTCCCATAATTGTTTGTTCTTATTTATCTATTATTTAAAAAACATTCGAATAGTAGCGTCCACATAAACACAAATATATGCATATCAATGCAATTATATAGATATTATATTAATATCACACACCCCCATAATTGTTTGTTCTTATTTATCTATTATTTAAAAAACATTTAAATAATTATTTTGACACTATAAATTATATAATTTTTTTCTTAATATTTTGATACCCATTTTATACTTTTTGATTTAAATAATCTTATCTTTTAGTGATAAATACATACGTATCCATGTAGTTGCGTCCACGTGGACACAAATATATAGATATCTATGTAATTATATAGATATTATATTAATATAACACACCTCGATAATTGTTTGTTCTTATTTATATATTAATTAAAAATTATTCGAATAATTATTTTGACACTATAAATTATATAATTTTTTTCTTGATATTTTGATATCCATTTTGTATTTTTTTTCATTTAAATTATTTTGTTATTTAATAATAAATACAAACGTCTCCATATAGTAGTGTACACGTGGACACAAATATATGAATACCTATTCAATTATATATATATATATATATATATGTATATCCATGTATATAGAATAGAAATGGATGTAACTATATAGATACATGTATATTTATATGTATATCCATATAGTTATATATATATATATTTATATGTATATAACATAGTTAGATATAACTATGTATGGAAAGAGATTAATTATGTGGGTCTCGTATGATTTAATATGTGAAATTTGATAGATAAAATTAAGTGGATCCCATACCTTTAATAAAGCAAATAAAAAGAAAAGGGAAAAAATGGCAAAAACGTCAGAAAATGGGAGCAAAATATAGAAAGTGCATCTCCTCCAAAAAGTGCGGTTTTTGGTAATTAAAAATAAAAAAGTACATCTATCGGTAATATTCTCTCTACCTCGTTTCTCTTTTTTTTTTTTGCTATTTTTCCTCTAATTACTTTTTGTATTGTATCTCCTTTGCTTATATGCTTTACCTTTTAAGATTCTTTAATTTAGAATAGCGAGTTGACCATTACACGTTTTTTCTTGAAAAACTGTTTCAAATCTTTCACCATTGCAAATGTTTCGATAGCACTCTCTTATTCAAACCCTAGCATGTCCCATGTATACGTCCGCACTCTCCAAAGATGCGGACTCTTTAGTAATTTAACCCCTCGTGACATATCTGCCACACTTTTTTTCCCTGACCAAGTGTCCCATTTTTTTGTCAAAGGCTGAAACACTTGATGCGATGTTCTCCAACAACACCTTTATCATGCCATAAGATTAAAATTGTGTGTGAAAATTTGAGTCTCTCTTTTCTCTCTCTCATAATTAGCTCATCAAGGTCCTATTTTTTTATCCCTTATTTCTTAGTAGATTTTTCTTTTGCTTTTTATTTTTATTTCATGGTTCATGGATATTGAACCTTCTTGTAGTTTTGGGAGTTGTTTTTTATTTTCTTCTAAACTGTATGGCAACTTCAATTGATCAAACTAGCTCCAAGTCATTGCATCTTAATCACGTAATCACACTCGTTTTCTTAGCTTTCCTTCTGCTCATTAACCCTACAAGTCTCATGACTCATCCCATCCATGAATCCTCATCTAAGAACACTATGGCTTCTTCCAAGAGGTTCCTTCTAGAACCTTCCAGTCCATCTTCATCGACTATGAATTTGCATCCAACAGCTCAACTGCGACGTAGTCACACCGCTTCTTCTTCTGCGTGGAAGAGCAGGAGGACAAAATTCGGAGCTCAAGCTCATGCGGTTCCAAGTGGTCCAAACCCTATCTCCAACTAGGTGAGCTTCGGCTTTTTTGAGTAATTTAATTTAATATTTTGGGGGTGAATTTGAAAGATGAGTTCATATAGAAGAATATGTAAGTTTGTAATGGATACATATAATTATAATAGATTTTGAAATTATTATAGTCCATCTTTGAAGTTTCCCTGCTTCGTTTTTTTGGATATTTCATCTTCATCTTTGAAGTTTTGAAGTTAGCATTGTATAAAAAAAAAGAGATGACTATTTTTCAAATATATACATATATATATATATTTCCATCACGATTATGTATTATTTATTTTTAGAAATTAAAAATCAAAATTACAGAATCGGATAAATGTAAACTATCAAATCTATATAAAGTAAAAGAATATAAATTTATTTCATTTATTTAAAAGGGTATTTATTGATAATATGAATCAATTTTAAAACTTTTAATTGTGAATTAGAAATTTAATTGAAAATAAAATTATACGGATCATAACAATATAGATTATTAATTTAGAATCTATATTTTATATTTTATTCGCGTTACACGCAAGATCTAATCTAGTATAAATATAAAGGAGAATATATGCATTATAACATGCTAATAATTAATGGGACTTTTGTTAAAAATGACATAAAATTTGATTTGGAATATAAAAGTAGACCCCTGATGTAACATTTGACAAAAATAACCTAAATGGATAGTGGAAAGACAATATAATCTTGTATGACCAAACAAAAAACGGATGTTTTAATTATGGTTTAAACCTTGACGAAGTCTAAAAAAGCATTTAGAAGTCTAACAAAGCTTATGAAGTCTACTATATAATTAAATTATAAAATTTAAAAAATAAAAAAATAATTTTGGTTTCAAAATTACAATCATAAATTAGATATAGTTATTTGAAATGTATATGAATTATTATTTCATATTCATAAATTTTAATTTATGATTTCAATTAATTAGTATAAAATATTTGATTTAGGATTTAAATTTAGTAGACTTTTATATAGAAATTTGCTAAACCGAATAAAAGAACTTAACCGATAACTAAACCAAAAAAAATAATTTAACCAAAAATTTTATCTCACTATATAATGAAATTAACCCTAACTTTGTCAAAAACATGAAACCATTTCTCTTTCTAACGGCGCTGTACTTCATCTCTCTCTGGCTTCTCTCGCTGCATTGTCGTTCCCGTCTGTCTCCGCCGCTCTATCCAGAAGTATCTTCGCTGTACACTCTTAACCTTCCCCTTTTTAGTTTCTTCGATCCATTTTCAAAGGAACTCCAGTTTGAAAAGGTTTGCCAATTGTTTCTTGTGTTTGGTCTCTGTAGTGTTCATTTGTTAGATCTGTTTATGATTTTCTTTTGGATATTGCAGGGAAAAGGAACCCCTCTCAAAGATATCCCTAATGGTAAGTTCTTATTCTAAATAGTTAGAGCACATATTCCGTTCCTAATAGTAGATTTCCCTGTGTGAATCTCTTTTTTTTTTTTATATAAAGTTTATGCAAGTAGACTGGTTACTTAGTTCACCAGATATGTCCATAATTAAAATATCAGTTAATAATTGTCTTCGTCTTAGAGATTCCTCTAGTAAGGACAGCAATGTTTTAGTGAAAATTTAGTGGGTTTGATTATAAAGTTTGTTTTTTGAAACAGCAAAAAAAAATGAGAAGCTAATAAATTAGCGGCAGATTTCACTCTAGTAGTATAAACTGATTCCAAAGAACCATCTGTCTGTTTGTTTGGGGATGTATTCAAAATCAATTTGAAATTAGGCTTCTCTGAAATCTGGGTTTGTAGTTGATTTGATTTGTATTCTTGGGTTTGTAGTTGATTTGATTTGTATTTTTATTTATGAAATTAGGTTTTCTAATTCAATGTTTCATGCTCTGGTTTTCACTCTCTGCAGATAAAGATTGGGAAGACATAAAGTTCGATGAGTTGTCCATGAGCTGAAGAACAAAAGTCGCAAGCTTCACGTTACCGGCACAGCAGCTCCGGCTATGGCGATGAAGGCATCTTTTCATCATCTACCTCTTTTTCTGGCGTTGTTCCCTTATGTCATTTGTTCATGATGGTTGCTCAATTACATTGCAAAACCATATACTTTAAACTTTTAAGTACACCGAAAAGTAGTATAGTGTCAAAACCATATACCACTATCTTCTTGTTTTTATATGAATACTTTCATTGTTGTTGGAGGTATGAACGATAGTTGAGTGGAGTCACAGTTACACCCTTATATGAGTGCAGTGTCATTTTTGTTTGAATTTTTATGTGCTTTGAAGTGAATTGTTACTTTCCACTGATAGTGATATTTATTATATAAAGACTCAGTTGAGTTTCACCAACTTAACACATAAGCACTCCAGCTTAACACATTGAAGTGAATTGTGACTATTCTAAAACTTTATTTTTTGAAATTATGTCTCTTAAAATACCTAATCGTGGAAATCTGTATTTACATTAATCAAATCAATGGCAATGAATTTTAAACGTTCTTCGATCCATTCCTCTTCTAAATTAACTCAATATGTCGTATCTCATCATGCTTTTATTAATTAATTTGTAATTTGAGACTCTTCAATTTTATATATTGCTTCTGCCTTCTGATGTAAAGGATATAGTCTATGTGGAACATGGTGGTGAAGCTCGTCTTCCCCCTTCTCGTACGTGTGTGGTCGAAATAAAAGAAGCACATGCCATGTAAATTTTCTCGACTCCTAATAATCCAATTCAGCAATTTGGAAGAAATCACATGATTTACATCAAATACCAACAACTAATTAAATATAAGGTATTCTATATAACGTTTTTGTTCGATTCAGTTTTCGTTTTGAAGTTTCTAATCTATGATTTGGAATCTACAATTTTGTTTGGGTATATTATCTGAATTTAAGGAACTTCGAATGTAGCAGAAAGTATACGAAAGACAAATTTTGAAGAGTCACAATAATTTATGTGTTGCAAAAATATAATACTAAAGGGATAGTTTCAATATGAATCAGTTTATATTATTTTTTCTTAGAGGATCACTTTGTTTCAATATGATCGTTAAAGGGGACATATACAGTAGCTACACGGATTGGTTTTAGTCATTAGTAGTATGATTTGAAGGTAGCAATTTTAGTTCCTTGCTCTTTGTTTTTTTTTCTTTCTCTATGCTGTGATGGAATTAGTGTTCACTGGCTTGATCCGTGGATAGAGTTAAATACAAGATATTTAGAATGAAAGAATCCTCAAGTATTGCAACAAAAGTTCTTAACATTGTTTACCATAAGAAAATCTCCATGTGGTAAGGGTTAGTAATTATTTTTAAGAATTTTGCATAGTGTACTATATTTCTTTGAGCTACTGCTGTTATATGAAAAAGTACTATAGTTTGTTATCATAAATTCTCATAAGTTTTATATATGTGTGTGTGAAGTAGACGAAACTGAATGACAGAGATGATGAGAATGAAAGTTTTGTTATTGGGATTCTAAGTGTGCGGCAAGCGTTTGATGTTTGTGTTGCCCTTTTGTATGTCAACTTTACAATCTCTTTTTTTTTTTTTTGGTAAAAAACTTTACAATCTCGTACGGCTGTTGTGATCAGTTTATTTTATATTGGTGTCAAATGATTTTTTCCACATCTCATTTTCCATTTTCTTATATTTTGTAGATAACTATGATTTTAGTCCCTTAATTGGCTATGGCGAAGTTAGATTGCACGGTTATCTATGGTGAGACCGAAACTAAATCAAGAAAATATAATTTGTTACGTGTGTATTAGCAATTATGCGGTGGAATGAAAGAAATTGTTATATATGTATGTATTAGCAATTATGCGGTGGAATGAAAGAAATTATGATATGGTAGGGTGCCTGTGCTATCCCCAATTAATCAACCACCTGGTTTTCATGATGAAGTACAAAACCTAAAATGGCTCTCAATTGTATGAAACATATGGATATTAGCATGGGGGTTTGAGACAGACACAAAGGAAATTCAGTTGACAATAGAAGCACAACATTGTATAAGGAATTCGGAAAAAAAATTATGTAAAAGACCCATGTAGTATTTCTTCTTTAGTCTCATGTTGTAAAATTTTTTAATTAAATTTAAGTAAACAAAAATATACATATCAATCCAAATATGTTTTCTACGGTTATAAATATTTTTTGGGTTTTTTTCTTTCATTTCCCAAAAAGAAAATAGAATATTAAAAAGATTAGTATGTTTTGTGTTCGCATGTACAATTTATTTAAATGGCTTCATACAATTTTTTTTTTTTAAAAATCATCAAAATAATAAAAATTTTACATAATTGGAAGTAAGCGATTTCGAGTCTGCCAATGATCGGTCTACATCAACAAATGATAGTTGGTAAATTTGGACAATAAAATTTTTAAAAATAACCTGCATGTATACGCGACTATTCATCTAGTGATTGTATAACTCTCCAGATGCTAATGCATTCATTTGTTTTTGATGCTGCGAATCTACAGCAAAATGCAAAGTTTGAGGCGTGTATGTACCCAACTGACTCGTGAGTTTGGTCGTGTTTTTTTTCTTTGAATAATGATCATCAAGTGTCATGGTATCCACTGGTCATCAATGTAATGAGCATAAGTGTATTGGTCATGTTATGTATTTTTATCAAATGTGATGCTATTTTATGCATAATGTCTTGTTGTTTTTCCTGATTACAGTCATACTCAAGTTATTCAAATGAAGACAAGAATATTGTGGTTCAGAAGAATAGTTTCATAAACTGATTCCAAAAAAACTTTTGAATCCAACAAAACTTAAATTTTTAAAAAGATAAAGAAATAAAAGAACTAATCTCATGTTTATAATACAACTCATCACCTAAGGCAACACACATTATATCTAAAGCCACAATGCCATTACCTAAGAAAACACATTATATCTAAAGCCACATAAGAAGCACATTAGTAGACTTCAAAATTTCGTTTGAAGTCTACTCAAAAAGTTAACTCCACCAACTCATTTTTCTTGTTCAGATTATAATCATTTTGTGTCATTTCAATAAGTTCCTCAAAGGTACAACCATCACTCAAAAAGAATATTTTTTCTCCATAATCATCTTGTGCTATTTCTATATAGGAGACTTCGTCTGCAGACTTCATCTGTAGACTGGAGATGAAGTCTATTCTTCCAAGCTAACTAGCTATTAAATCAACAAATTCGATTTCACAATATATATCGACTTAAAACAAATGAAACTCATTGAATAATTACACCAGTTGGTAACACACATTCCAAAACCTAAAAATATAAAAAAAATTATTTATATATATATTCTGTAATTTTGTTTTTAAAATAATGATACCGAGCAGACTTCGTGTGTAGACTTCATCCGTAGACTGCTGTAAAAGTCTAATTTGATAAGCTAACTAGCTTAAAAATAAAAAATCTGATTCCCCAATAAATATCGACTTAAACGAAATGAAAATCATTGAGTAGTTCAATCATTTGCTAACACGCATTTCAAAACCAAAATATTGAAAATATACTTTATAAATTTGCCTAAAACACGTTTTTAAAAAAATACAATAAGTAGACTTCTACAACAGACTTCAAACGTAGACTGGAGGAGAAGTATACTTTTTCCTATCGAAGTCTGCGAAAGAGTCTACTTAAAAACAAGTTATTTTTGCAATTGACCAAACCATTGACTTTTCCTTCAGTAGACTTCAAAAGTAGACTTCCGACCAAAAATGTTACTTTAGCATTTGACCGAGCTATTGACTAACAAAGTAGACTTCTATAATAGACTTCAACTAAGAGTAGACTTCCCTGACAGTCTACTTTTGAAGTCTACTTTTTCAATAAAAGTCTACAGAAAAATGTAGGTTATTTTTGCAATTGATTGTTTCTAGTAGACTTCAACTCAAAAAAAGATTCCTTCTAAGTTTGACCGGAAAACAGAAGTAGACTTCCTGACTTCTTTCTGAAGTCTACTGCAGTTTTCCGGAGTTTTCTGTATTTTTTATTTTTTAAAAAAAACTTTAGTCAAACACTAAAATGACATATATGCTTTTGGTCAAACTACAAAAGTAACTTAAAAGTAGACTTCTTGTGTAGACGTAAACTGTAGACTTTAGAAAAAAGTGTATATTAAAAAGTCAATATACAGTCAAGTACAAAAATAACCTTTTTTCTTTCGTAGACTTCTTAAGCCTTTAAACGAAGTCTACTAGGTTTTTTTTTTGTTTTCAAAGGATATCGAGTAGACTTCTCGTGAAGTTTAATGAAGTCTACTTTTAAAAAGTCAATTGCAAAAATAAGCTTAGGTTGACTAGTAGACTTGAAGTCTACTTTGAGTTAGTTTTTAGGTCTCTCATGCACCCAAAACTCTGAATTTGACCCAAAAAAAAAACAACACAGGTCATGATTAAGCTGAAATCACCAAAAATGTATAAACTTTGACATTGTAACTCAGCCCTGAAGTTTTAGAGAATAAATTAGGAAAGAATATGGAATGTTATGAGTGTATGAGCGCTCATATTAACTTATTACAGCTTTAAAATTGGTTGAGAAGCATTTATTCTATTTTTGGGGTTGTTCATGGTGGTTGAAGGTATTGAAAAAGATGACATTATTGTAATAAAAAAATTTTAGGAGGTCCAATGAGACTTTAGCGAATATTTAAAAAATCAAAATAATGGTTTATAATGATATTTTCGTTAATATCTTGAGTAAGAAAAATAGAATTGTGACAAAATGGCAAAAGTTGGAGAGAGAAAAAAAAGTTATTTTGGTGTTTGACTTCTTTTTTAAGGTTAAATTTGAAACTCTTTCATAATTAATTGGTTGCTGATAGATTTGGAGCATCACCGTTTAATTGAAGTTCATTATATGAATTCGTTATATTTTATTGACATTTATAAGAATGAATTTTTGTTATAATACCTATGACATTATATAAGTGAAATTCAAACATGAAATTATATCTTTGATCTTTCAATTTTAAAATATAACTTATATTCTATTTTAACAACTTCTGTGTTAGATATCTTCTTTAAGAATTAACTTTAAAAATAAACACCTGTCTAAATTATAGGTTTCGAACCATATCCTTTGAGGTTTTTTTTTTTTGTTTTTGAACTGAACAATCCATTAGCGAGTATAAAACTTTATTAGAGAAAGCATTGTATAATTTTACTTATATGAATGAACCTCTTCCATATATGACACATATTTTTTTCAATATTTAAATTCCAAAAAGTATGTATAATAATTTTGTACTCCTGGTAAAAAAA